TTGCCCCTGTCATTCTCTCACAAAACCAAATTCAAAGTCCCTTTGCATGGACCTCTTAAGCAGTGTTGTGTCTCGAGTCACTTCGAGCCTGAAAGCAGATTCGGAGGCCAAGGGAGAGAGCACCATGAGAGCATCTTTTAGACATGGAAGCCTAAAAAAGCAGCAGGCTTTTTCGAAGTTCTAAATAAAAAGGAGAGAAAAGAAAAACACTCTTCCTATAATGAAAAACAACTTTTCATTAAGGAATTGAGGGAAGCACTTTCGTCTTCAAGAAGCATCCTCGGAGGTGAGAGAATGATCAGCTAATAAATTTGAAGAACAAAAATATGCCAAAGAAATAAACACCAACAACTTTATTTGTCCTCAAAAATTGTTTGGTGGGTCATTAACCAAACCCTCATTGGACCTCCATTTTTTATTCATCTAAAAGCACAATCAGGCATAACCCTTTATGCCCAACAAAAATCACAAAAAAAAGGGATCCCATATATGAAATTATTACAATTAAGTACAAAAACACGGTTTCAGTTGAATCACAAATCATAATTATAATTACTCATAGATCTACCCCTTTAGAAATGCATTCTCATCCCTTGTAGATTTTTTGGGTATTTATACATAATTAGTGAAGGCTCTAAAATTTCCTAAATTTATTTTTTCCTCTAGAATCAAAGTTACGATTATGATCTTTACTCTCTTAACCTCTTTTATTCACAGAGGTTCCTTGAGCTAGAGCTGCACTGCCTGAATCTTATCCTTCTCCACATATAATTGATCGAGAACTTATTATCATTATTTTCTTGGGGGTGCTGATGAGTATCTGTTAATGGTACCACTAGATTGTTCCGTTTTGCATCCCAAACGTTTGTCGACTGATGAACTATATACACAGAATGCATAATATTAATATCCTGGCTTAAATAATTTCACAAAGGAATTCATTGTCATATATTCCTTATTGGGCATAATAATAATTGCAGCCTTTATTCATATATCTAGCTAGTAATACTATTTGATACAATCATCAGTATATTTCCAAGACTATTTTCAAACAATCATTTGCGTTTAAATAAGGATATATATTCACGAGAAATGTTTAATCACATCCTTTCCCTCTAGCCGAATTCAAAATCCATTTGCCCTATACTAGTTTTATCTCATGCCAGCTAGTGTAGTTATGATGGGATTGAGCTCCCCAAAATGAATAGCATGATAAATCATGTTATAGCTGAAAATCTCATCAATCACGCGGCAACAAGGAAACTTGCTCTTTATTTGTAGGAGAACTTACGTGATTTTATTCGTGAGAATAAGAAATGTATAAATTAAATATTTTTTAACCACCTAAGTAACATGGATTTTCTTTTCTCTCTCACACACATATTCAATTAATTGGATTTTATAACTCAAATTAAATTCGTTGGATAAATCCAAGGCCCCTCTATAGAATTTCTCCATTTTATTTACGAGTCTTGAGGTGCGTATGGGTGTGCGTGTGCAAGAAAAGTTCATGCAATTTTTTCCTTGTCTTTGATCTCTTTCTATACTTTTATAGATGCTTGCCAACCATATCTTCCCAAACTCTCCTTTAAGTTTCCTTCGCTGTTTTTATTTTCACTCTTTCTATCCTTTTCTTTATGCAGCTTAGAAACAACGCATTCTTTGAATCCCACACATTTTCTTGTTTTAGTTTTCTTTTTCTATCCAAAACCCTAAAGTAAGCACTCATACTTGGTAGGCCCTCCAATAACAGAAACCCAAATGATCTTATTGGTCCCCCACCTCTCTTCATGCTCAAGACTCTCTGTCTCATATATTTGGTGGAGATTTGGCTCCACGGGGACTTTTGCATGGATTTGTTGGCTAGTTTCAAAACCAAGGGTTTTAGTTTTTCTTTCTATCCCTATCTTCTTCTCTTATGGCCGTCCTTTTGATTTATGGTTGTCTCATCGAGGTCAACTCAACATCACTTCTCATGTATTTTTCATAATTTGTTTCTTTTTTTCTCCTCCTCCTTGCTGTTTGTCATTCTTAATTTCTCCTAAAAAAAAAAACTTGGTCAAGTATGGTTCGTTCTAATTGTTTCTTCCTTCTTTTTGTCAATGCCTTGATAAAATCAAAGGGTAATGTATGTTTTAAATATTGACGAGGTCATCTGCATGCATCCAAACAAAACTTTTGTCCATTGCGATTCGTAAGCTTGCGTCCGGGATTTCTTTTCTATTCTTTATTTTTGTGAAGCGAATGCACAGTTTTTTCTTTTCAAATACATGATTGGAGCTTTGGAAATTAGTTAGATATATGTCAATCCCTTAAATCAATTCAAATTGCCACGCCCACTATCAAATCTTGTCAGGTCTATTTTAATAAAAATAAAGAAAAAATTGAGAACATATAAAGAAAAAAAAAAAAAAGAGTATCATGAGGATTCAGTGAAACTTGCATGTGTGACAATTCTTCCAATTTCTCAAAAGAGTTCATAAATTGAGTCCATAAAAAACCAACAGGAGCGTAAGCCAACTAGTGCAATGAACCACTGGGTTTTGGAAGCCTTTTATTTTGTGGCCAAGTTTTAAAAGTAAAAAAAGAGAAAGAGAAAGGAAATAAAAGGATGCAGACGAACATAACGTGCGTTAGACATTCCAGGCATGCCGTGTGTTATCTATTATTGGATGGAAGATTAAAAGCAGAAGCATACAAAAGGCCAAGAAGGAGAAATTACACAAACAAGTCCACATGAAATTACAAGAACTTGCAAGTACTCTCAAACCTCTTTGGACCATGTCTTTATGTGGTGGTTGCCCTGAGAAATAATTGGATAACAATGGATTATTATACAATTTGAACTCTTTCGGCTATTGGATAAGAGATCAAGTCATCATGACTTGGTTTTCCTCACTTTTATGATAATTCGGACGGCACTAAAAGGTTGAAGTAGCAATGATATTGACTGCATTTTGCCACTGAAAACCACTAAACAAGTACTGGTTGGTGGGTTTAATTTCTTTTTGCGTTTGTCGTTCCTGGGCCTCTTTAATTTCTTCCTGGACTAGTTAAGTTTGGCGTTGTTGAGGCCATATTCTTTAAAAGAGAAATGCACAGAATAACAAAAAATTGATGGCCAACAGCTCGAAGCTGAGTGACAGTGTGATATTGAGGATGGGGCCAACGCCATAGTCGAATGGACGGCATGGCCTTGTTCTGTTTTGTCAAAGTCATTATCAAAACCATCCAGATAAGAAAGAGATATATGCATCAAACCATAATTATTATTGCTATAATAGGTATAAGATAGTTACATAAGACCATACTTTTAGGGTTTGGAGCATGCCCAATGTATTCGTAGACCAGTTTTCTCACGTTAATATTAAATTCCATCACAGTGAGCTTTAATCATTTACATAGCTGTATTCATGATGATTTGTTTCTTACCATCTCTTTTTAGGTTTGAATCCTAAAACAAAAGGACTGACATAAGAGAAGTGAGAAGTGAGAAGTGATTACACCATACTTTTGCATGTCAAAGGTAGAAATAAGTGCTAGTTAGGTATGGATTGAAATAATTAGACACATGAGAGTGAAATGTTTAAATTCAAAGAACGACAGCGCAATTTGTTTACAAATGAAAACTAGTAGGTGTATTTTATTTTTTTAGATTTGATATTCCATTAATGTTTATATCCAAATTATCAATTACCAATGAAAATAAAAATATCAATAGACAATAAATCCTGAATAAAATCTTGTTTGACGATGTGTTTCCATCAATAAATTCATATTATCAATATAATGATGTTTACTTGCCGATGAGTTATTCCATCAATATTTTCTAGTAATGTGTTGGACCATCCCGTGGTGTAGAGAAGTGAGTGAGTCATCTGAATATCATCTTCACAATAATTACTTGAATTCAGCATACTACCTTATCCGAATTTTTTTTTATTATCATCTGGATTAATTAATGTATTTCATATGACATAATTTCCAAGCTCCTGGTAGACTAGTGCAGGAGTAATGAACAAGAGAATTGAAATTCGACTTTTCAGCTGGAATATCCCCTTGAGTTCAGAAACGGGCACCATTTTGCAGGCTTCCAGTTCCTTATTTTAAAGAACATTAAATTAAAATCAATCAGCAAATGAGTTCACTGTTCATATGAGTATGTATGGGGATGTTGATAATTTGAAAATGCAGCATAAATTAACGGAGCATCATGTCAAATGGCAATGGTGTTGGGCCTACAAGATTGAGTGGACTATGAACTTCATATTTGCAAGGCAACATTAGTAAGGCCTGACATGGGCCTTGCATGAAAAAAAAAATCCCAAGTCCAAAAATGACTCTTTTCCCCAATTAACCTGCTCTCCGCCGAAGCTGTGATCTGGGGAACAGAATCCTTTTTTCCAATTGAAATATAATAACTTTTCTTGATTCCCCACAACATAACCATTTCAACAATTCCATTTCACCTCTCACCTACAAGCAAAATATGAACAAAATTTACTTTCAAGTATCTTGAAACTCTGAATTCACTAGTTTCTTCTTAATTCCAATACATCATCATCTGAGTTTAATCAAATTAATTGGATGGGGATTTTAATTAGATTAATATTTCAATTGACTTAATTAAATTTTTATCTTGGATTAGAACTCGAATCTTGAAATTATCAAGTTAACACATTGGGATAAACTGAGCTTGACGTTTAAATCAGACTTATTCATTGGAATGCTAAGTCATGATGAACAAGAACAAAAAAAAATCAGGTAAAAAATTTAGAAGAATGCTGATATTTTTGGAATTTTTTTGAGAGAGAATGATTGCAGATGGAGAACTTTTTCGGTTTTTATACATGGAATGTTTGGTAGAGATGGCGGGTCGAAAATGCTTTCCGTGCAGAGTAAAATCCAAAGTTTAGTTCTTGGGCAAACCGAAACAAGAACCCCCCAACTATAGAGATGGTATTAACTGAGTCTTCAGGTGATTATTTCTTTCAATTGAGTTCCCAAGGTATCAGACATCATGAGTTTTGAGTTTTCTGTCTATACTCTTCACAATTTCGTAAGAGATAACCTCAAGTTTCCCAAAAAAGATGTCGTTAAATTGGATTGATTTATGTTCTTTGGCAGGATTGAAAGGGAGACTCAACTAGTTATTTACAAAAACCTTTTGAGAGACTAAAAATCCTTTTAGGAACTTAAGCGAGACTTTTTCTATAATTGGGGGACTTGTTTAAGCTTTGCCTCGCGGCAAGTTCGAAAATATCGTTAACGAGTTGCCAAAACGGCGGCTTTTTTAGGGCAATTTTTGTCAAAGGGAAAAAAATTTCAGCCAAGTGCACCCCAAATAAATCCTAGCTACGCCTGTGGCTGAGATCTTGAACAGAGAGTTGAAAATCAGAATGGCGAAGCGAGATTTGTCGGGTTCGGAGCCCGATGAAAGCGAGAATTCAAGTTCGGAAGAAGAAGGAGAAGTAGTAGGGAAGCTGAAGGGGATAACGGAGTATGAGAAACAGAGACTGTCGAGAATCGCAGAGAATAAAGCTAGAATGGAGGCTTTGGGTCTTAATAAAATGGCATCTACTTTGATGGGTTCGGTTCAGAAATCAAGGCAGCGAAAAGGGAAACAAAAATTTGTTGATGACGAGGAATATAGGCCCATTGATGAGACTGCTAGTGATGACGATGATTTTGATGATGAAGATTTTGTGGGAGGTCAATGTTCTTCGAAGTCGGGGAGAACTAAGGTATTGTGAATTTTTCTTGATAAGAAACGTTGCAAGTTTTTATTCACATTTTCTTGGTTTTAATGTTAATGTATGATATTGGGACCATAGAGGGAGAGAATGTGAGCTTTTTCCTTTTTCTCATTGATAGTAAGAGAAATGCAAGATGTGCCATTTAACCAGACCGGGGATAGAAATTGGAGGTGGGAAGAAAGGTGAACATCAACTCGAGTAGAAGAGGAACGCACACTACTTGTTTGAGAAAAGTCTTGAAATAAAAATGAGTTAATATGGTACAAAATTTAGAGTAAAAAAAAAAATTATTCTGCAAGGAAAATGAATTGATGCAGAGACTGAATAATGAGACCTACAACTGACTGACAAGAGTAAACGGGTCAACATCTTATTATCACTCGTCTTTTAAAGTGATGGACGCTGAGAAACCAAAAAACGGGAAGGGGGGACTAACACAAGATTAGTCACTTGATATGCCACCACGTGACTCATCTTGTGTGGTAATCATAGATATGTGTGGCACTTGTGAAAAGAGGCTCCGGGAATGCATGATTGGGCTTATGCATAATCTGCAGTGATGAGATGCCTTGGTGCTCAATGAGTTCCAATAAATTGGATGGATCATCATATGTTAAACCATCTTGTAATTTTGTTTAATCTGTGCATGTTTCTGGAACAATCTATTTTTTGTTTGGGACATGCAGGCAATACAATGGTGCCTCACAAGTGAAAGATTCTATTTCTTATGCATTCTTAGCAGTACGTTAATATTGTATGAAGTGGATCCATTTTTGCCTCTTCATTTTTTGATTAATTGTATGAAGTGGATCCATTTTTGCCTCCTTTTCATTTTTTGATTGTTCACCCTTGGAAGAGAAAATCTACGAATTTAAGAATATTCTAATACACCCTTGAAAAAACACAGCTTACATATCTCATTTAAGAGATGAAGAGCACATCACTTTGTGAGACATGCACCCACATGTCTCATTTTGAGGTATGAACTTTTCAACTTGAGATGAGCAGTGGTAGGTCTTATTATGCAGGCATCTCTTTATGCTTTCGGTGTGTGCCTCACTTCATTTATCTTAAGTACATTTTTTTTTTCTAAATTTTGCTACTACCTACACTTACCTTTGGAGGCTTTTCTCAGACAGATGATATGCACTCCTCCTCTGGTAAACATGGTGTGTATCTTTGTTCCCACATGTAACCTCCCTCTTTCCTTACAATAATAATCTATAAGTTAAAATGAAATGGTCTTGCATTTAACTCTCTCTTCATATCAAAATAGTTTTGATGTCACAACATCCTATATTTATTTGTTTGTTTTCTTACTCCCAAAATCGATCATTTCAAAATTTATTTGCTTACACCCATCCATGCGCTTTGTCCTTCCCATTCTATGTACATCCAATCCCAATAACAATGAAGATTGTCCACTTCTCATCTCATTCCTCGCACTAATCTATCTGCCTCTCTATCTGAGAGTTGTTTGTGCACAACTCTACCTCAGTACCTCACCCTAATATACATAAAAGAACCTGCATACTTCTCATTTTTCACCCTTGTCAGGAACTATTTTATTGTGTTGTCTAGCATGTTTTTTCAGGTTTAGATATGCAAGGCTTTGAGCTTTCCCTTGAAATACTTTGATTGATATGTTGGGAACTCTATTTGCTTATCATTTTTATTCAGGATAAGAGGAAAAGTTCAAAACCTAAAAAAATTCCTGTTCAGAAGCATGTTAGTGGTGCAGATTACATTTATGGGGATGATGATGAATTAATGCAGGTAAATTTTGATGAGTATGGAGGACTTTTATTGCCAGTTTATGCTATTTCTGCTTCACATTATTGTAGAGATGGTGGTAAATTAACTCTTCAGCACTCTTATACAGGCAATTGCTCTGTCATTGCATGATTCTGTGAATGATGCAACTCCTAAAGAAAGAAAGGTAGATGCTCAGGTTCAAGAAGATGCAGGAAAGAGGAAGAGGAAAAAACCGGTTTGTTTTCACTCGGATTGGTGTTTATGATGAGCAGATTTTTTAATTTATTTTTTACTTATTTCTCTTTCCTTTATGTTTCTTCTTTGTTTCTCTTTCATGTCAGCAGTTCAGTAGTCGGGTGCAGATGACTGAGGATGACCTTATCTTGCATTTCTTTCAGTTTGATGGTAAGTTTGTGAACCTGTCTTCTGTGTGTGGATTGTTGGGGAAGGGAGAGGGATAAACTGAAAGTTGGGAATTTTATTTCTTTGTGAGTTTTGACATTAGCTTTGGAAGAAAGGGGATTGAGATAGAGAGGAACAATCTGGTTTACCAAGTGTTTGTATTATCATTGCTCCAGAAGGCATGATTTTACAAAGATGCCTCACTCCTTGTAAGATGACTAAGCTTCTGGACCTTAAATCTTTTATCAGGCCACCCTTGTTTAAACTTTAAAGCTATGTAACTTTAATGTTTTGAAAGCGATATTCTGTCTGTATTATTTCTTGATATTCTGAAAGAGTCTTGGAGTAATTTAGGTGGATAATGTTATCTTGCAGAGGCAGGAAAAGGGGCCATAACAATGAGAGATATCCGAAGAGTAGCAGTTGCTCATGATTTTATATGGACAGACAAGGAATTGGCTGATATGATACACTGCTTTGATGGTGATGGAGATGGGAAGGTCAGTTCTTGCAGTCTTCATTCTTTTTGTTGTGAAAAAGGGCACAAAAGTATGTGGTTGTGGGCAGGCACAACTCACAAGGACTCTTTCCAAATGCCCTGGCACTTTCTGAGTGTTTTAGTTTGGAACTTTGAACAGTTTGCTGATCTGTTGCTCTAAGTGGATGCATTGTGAGTCAAGGATATTCATGTAATTGGAAACTTGTCTTATTATCGAGTACTCTTATGCCACTCACTTTAATCTTGAATCAATGATCAAAGAACTTCTTTCCCATATTTGTTAATTACATTATCTAGGCCTAGTGAATCACTTGATAACTTTCTGCACATTCCAAGATTGCATTTTGCATGTGACTATTTCCAGAGCTTGATTCTCCATCTGTTCAACACTTTCTTCAAAGTGAATTATACTTTGGTGTCATGGCTTTCTTATCATTGTTTCATCAAAACTGCTCAATACATTGGTGGATGAGGTCTCAATTCATATGTTAAACTTTCCATATTTACTTGTAATGTTCTCATGCTAATCGATGTTGTTTGACGAGTTCTAATTATTGAGTAGCATGATGCTTATCTATTGTTAACTTGCTCCATTGCAGCTAAGTCTTGATGATTTTTGTAAGATTGCTGGTCGATGCAACATGATTCAGAGTTCTGAAAATCAATGATGGATACAATATTGGCATCACATTCATTGTGGAGATATGTGAGGAAATGCATCTCTGACTCTTCATAACTTTCTGAGTTTTTTATTGTGTTTCTAAGGTACTTTCTGTTTTCTTTTTTGTCTTTCTAAGTGATGGCTTCTTTAAGAATTTGTTCTGATTGGCCTTTTGCAGATACAATGTGCATCTGGGCTATGTATTAAAATGTGAAGAATTACCTTAGCTTCCCGCAATGTTGTATATAGATGATGGTATAAATTTTCTCTAAAAGCACGTTGTTTATATTTTCAATTCTCTGTAAGCAAAGTAGATGGAGTGAGTTTTCCAGTTCGGTAGGCCTTTTAGCGTTTTGGTAGGCTGACTTTTGGCAGCTAAGAGTGCAAGCATTCTCCTTCTGTATACAACAGCATCAGCTGCAAACCTATAATACAAAACAGATCCTTAGCTAAGAGTGCAAGCATTTTCCTTCTGTATACAACAGCATCATCAGCTGCAAACCTATAATACAAAACAGATCTAAGAGTGCAAGCATTTTCCTTGTGTATACAACAGCATCAGCTGCAAACCTATAATACAAAACTGATCCTTGACAATCAGCACGCTGTGCGTGGCCCTTTCAGAATATAGTGCCTAAGCTTATCTGCGGAAACAATCTCATGCTAATCACTTTTGGGGACCATGTTTGTTGTGAATGTGCTATGGTTTCGATATTAGCTTTATGAAAGTAGCCATAGGTTTTTTAGGGTGGTGCTGCTGCTCTTTATAACAACTCAGGAATAAACCCCCACCCCCCAATTTCACGATCCAGTGAATGAGCTCCGTGGAACCTAAGGAGGCATGTACAAGTGTTTCTGTCATTACTATTTCATGTGTTCCAGTGGTGTCGTTCGTAGCTCCAGTAACTTGCAGATCCAGTGAATGAGCTCCGTGGAACCTAGGGAGGCATATACCAGTGTTTCTGTCATTACTATTTCAGGTGTTCCAGTGTGTCGTTCGTAGCTCCAGTAACTTGCAAATGACATTAGGTTCATGACTTGGTAAACCCCCCCGGGTCAGGCCCAACACATAAAATTAGCTCATATTAAATGCATGATAATAGTAATAATAATAATTCCAAAAGTTGTTATTTTTCAAATAATATTCAACTAGTTAGTGTTTGACGATGATTTAGTACGACGACCAAGATATTATTGAGAAATTAATTTTTTTATTAGGATATTTATGATAGATGAATGAGAACCTTGAAAGCTACAAAATTGGCACGCATTTCAACTTTTCATCCAAAAAAATCTACTGATTTGTAAAAAATAAAAATCTGAAAACAAGAGGAGTAGCCCCGTCCTCACACTCTGTAATCCTATGTGGGTGGCTACGGTGCTTCCTAAACCGGTTCCTCCGGTTCTTTCCGTTCTCACTTCTTCAAGAAACCTGAAACAAAATTCTTTTCATTTCCGGTTCTCGTATCGACCTTTAAACCTTAAAGTTTCAGCAACAAAGCAGCAGCAGCAGCTTCCCGAGCTGAAGGCTGATAAAAAAAACCCAAGCAGTTCTGATTTAGGATGGCTCCCTGCTTTTCCTCACGTCTTGATTGCCTCTATGTCAAATTTTCTATTTGGTTATCATATAGGGTTTGTATCTCTCTCTTACCTTGTTTTACAATATTTATGCTCAAATTATCTTGATGATGGGGCTAGACTGCATGAGACAGCACAAGAGACGGGGCAGTTGTTCCCTTCCATTTGCAACCAAACACTAGTACAAATGAAATTTGCTTGTCCGTTCATGTCCCGTTCCTTGTGCCAAATCGTCTTGTTGATCAAGAGGTGACTGAAGATTGGACAAGACGGGAGAGGATAGGATAGGAGAGTTAGGACAGTGGTTCTATCCAATGTACACACCAAACACCAACACAAAGAATGAAATTGATCCAGTCTAGTCCCGTGTGCCAAATGTTATCTTAATCTCGCTTTTTGTGATGATTTGCATTATATATGATCAACGGTCTTGATTGTTGTTGATTATATGCAGGGTAATGAATGGTCCTATTGTTTCTGTTGCAAAAGAGTTGGGTTTTGAAGGAAATTCAATTCTTGAGGGTCTTGTGGTTAGCATTTTTATTGCTGGTGCATTTCTTGGAAGCGTGGCATCAGGTTCACTAGTTGATAAACTTGGATGTCGTCGCACGATTCAGCTTGACACAATACCATTAATTCTGGGTGCACTTGTAAGGTAATGATTTGTATGTGCAAATAATTTGATGATGAAGATATGCCTACCATTTGCAGATTGTGTCATGCTCGAAGGTTGTAGATTTTCTGATATTATAATGTACATAATTCTAAAACTTAGTCTAATCTATGACACTTTGCATGATGTGACAGTGCGCAAGCGCACTCTTTGGATGAAATACTCTGGGGAAGATTTCTTGTTGGGCTTGGGATTGGTGTGAACACTGTTCTTGTTCCAATCTATATTTCGGAGGTACTTTACTTTCAATGCGCTACATTTACTGATTTCATTTGTTAAACTCCCAGTTTTTTATGTTAGTTACAAGGGTTGGTCAATTCAAAGGTGTCGAAGAAGTGAGAGGAAAGACTTGGGATTTCTCTCTTTATCCAATCTTGAGAATATGAGAACAATGTTCTTTCAAATTTATCTATTCATTCATTGAAGCTTGTAATATATTGAATTTGTCTATTATGGTTTGTAGGATGTGGCAAGAAGATATGTTTTTGGTGTTGACAGTAACTCCCAATCATTTTTGCTCATCTAACTCCTCATTATATATGTTGTAGGTTGCGCCAACAAAATACAGAGGCTCATTGGGAACCTTGTGTCAGATTGGGACATGTCTTGGAATCATTGCATCATTGTTCCTTGATATTCCTTCTGAAACTGATCCACACTGGTGAGGTTCTTTTCCACTTTGGTCCTTGTTGGTTCCTGGCCTGGGTTTGATTGATGATCTACTTTCATATGCTTGCTTTCTCGCTTAATATCATGTGCAGGTTTTCTTTTAGCGGATGTCATTCTTTAGAATTAACTTTAGAATTAAGTTTTATGATATGAAGTAGGAAGCCAATGTAAGTCAGTTTTCCATGATTTAGCAGGGCTTGGCATCTGCAGTTTGCTTTTTAGCCTTGCATTCATAGGCATCTGCTTGTCTTATAGATTTTCAGAGGCATTATTATTCTTTTACTTGATATGGAGGAGGCTTTGATCTTTCTTGCTTAACAAAATATCTTTTTTTCAGGTGGAGGACAATACTCTACATTGCAAGTGCTCCTGGATTTATTCTTGCACTCGGCATGCAGTTTGCTGTGGAAAGCCCCCGCTGGCTATGTAAAGTAGGGGTCTCTTTCTCTTCTGTGCAAACATCTTTGGATATTGCTTCTTGGCATTTCACTCCTGAAGCTTTTATGATTTGTTTGTGTAGGTAGGGAGGCTAGATGATGCTAAAACAGTTATTCGTAATATTTGGGGATCATCTGAAGTTGATACGGCAATCCAAGATTTCCAATCAGTCATCAAGAATAATGGCATTAATGTGGGTAGTAGATGGTTGGAACTCCTGGAGGAACCACATTCTAGAGGTTGTATGACTATGAAGGTTGTTCTTGGATATCTCATTCAGTTATATTTATAGTGAAATACAATATGGGTCATAGGACTTGTGTTAGTGTTACAGTTTGTGTGATATACTTCCTCTATAAACATTTCAATAACATTTGTAATTCAGGCATTTTCTCTTCCGCATTATTAAATAGCTAGATCATTTCATATTTCAATTGTGAGTCTGTGACACACAAAATTCAGTCTGTAGACATTGATGTAGTTGTGTTGTTGCAGTTGCATTTATCGGAGGTGCCCTTTTTGTACTGCAACAGTTTGCTGGGATAAATGGAGTCCTTTATTTTTCATCGTTGACTTTTAAAGATGTCGGTATAACAAGTAGCAGTTTAGCAAGCTTATTTGTTGGACTTGCCAACTTTGCAGGTTTGAAATCTAAGGCTATTTGTCCTTGTCTTTTGTCTATTGAGACATGTTTCTTATTTGAGTCTCAAGTTTTTGAGTTGGTGGTCATCTTCAGGTGCACTTTGTGCTGTATACCTAATGGATAAGGAAGGGAGACAAAAGCTCCTGATTGGCAGTTACTTGGGAATGGTGAGTGTGGATGATATATGCCTGTACAAAAGCTAGTGACTGGAAAAAATAATATCATCATAATCATTGTTCTTTATCTTCTTTTGAGGTTTGAAATTTCAGCTATATTATGGTATTATTAGTTTGTTGGTCCACTGATGCACCAAAACTTACAAAAAAAAGATAGCAGCATGGATTATCTAAGTTATGAATTATTTTTCTTTATGCAGGCAGTTTCAATGTTTCTTATTGCCTGTGCTATCAGTTTTCCAGTAGATGAAGAACTCAGTCACAATTTGTCAATACTAGGAACTCTGATGTAAGTAACTTTTCCCTAGAATCCCCACATAATTTTAAAATCTGGGAAGAGATTAGACAAAGGTTTAGTCCATGGTAGTTTTGCAAGGATAAAACAGTTCCGTTTAACTGACTCCAATTAATTTAAAGTTCTTTGAACGGAGCAACATAGAGAGCTGCCTCACTGTTTACTTTTGCTGCCTCTCCATATTTAGCAGTTTCATCTTGTTGGTCAACAGGCTGTGAGTTTTGAAAGCCATTGCATTTAGTACTTAGTACTACCCAATTAATTGAAGATTTAACCTTTGCTTGGTTTGTTTGTCACTGTCTAAATTAGTTAATGAGTTTGGCATATGAAGTGAACTTGGGCCACCTATGACCAGCAATGCTAGATTGATATGACTCAAGAAAAGGCACTTTCGTGGCTTACAGATATGATCTGATGAGAGATAAAGATTCCACCTGATTGCTGGTTATTCAGTGTGACTTTTATTTAGCAATTTTCTTATTTCAAAAGCTCATTATTCTACCTTAATGAAACTATGAAAAACCCCACTGCATATTTGAAACCCTGCATTTTGTTTGCATGCCTGTTCAACATGATATTGTGAACCAAATAAAAGCTGAGCTACAAGTGAGACATATAGAACTATGCTGAACAGCCATATATTGCTTGCATCACTATCAACCTATCAACAAGTGAATGTTATATTAATATGGCAATGTCATGGTTATCTTATCCATACATATAAGCATTTGGAACATGTTGTAACCTTTTCCAGTACATGCAGTATCTTTTTTCGATGTACAATTGTTCTGGATGCTTTGCTTCATAGCATCATATAGTATGGATATGCATATTTAATAATTCATACATAAAATATCTACTTGTATTCCCTTTTAACAGACATCCCAAGTGAATCTGTTGTACTCCAGAATACAACTCTACCTTCAGGGTTTGCTGCTTTCATTTCTAGGTAGATTTTTGCAATAGTGAGTGAAAACTTTAAATGAATCTTGCATTGATTGCTTTTGAACATGTACGGCCCTTTTCTCTTGAGAATTAGAAATGAATTGCTACGCCACTGTCAAAGCATGACATATAGCACCATCCTGATATTGCTAGACACTAGGGTGTTTTAAGGTGTCCAAAATCCTTTCCTACTAATCTGGAATATAGGAGTATTATGCATTAATGAGATCTTCATTGATAACTCTTTTGGCTCTTGCATATAGGTACATTTTCACATTTGCCATTGGAGCTGGCCCTGTAACTGGTCTCATCATACCAGAACTGAGCAGCACCAGGATGCGTGGGAAGATTATGGGGTTCAGTTTTTCTGTTCATTGGGTAGGTACTCAAATCATTTTCCATAATTTATTCCCCATAGAAAGGAAAAGGCAAGTTCTGCCAAGTCTTGTTGATGTTTAGGTCAAATATCTAGCGTTTATACTGTCTGGCCATTTCCCATGTTTCTAATTGGATTTGGAAGAGAAAATGGGAAAGGTATAGCACCATTGCAGTTTCCATTCTTATATATTTTGAACTTCGAATCATGTAGTTTCAGCTTCTTTACGCCCCTTGTGAATTCACCTTGGTCATTTGATGTACCTTCTTTCAGGTTTGCAATTTCCTGGTGGGTCTATTATTTCTTGACTTGGTGGAGATTTTTGGAGTTGCACCTGTTTATACCGGCTTTGGCAGTGTGTCCTTGTTAGCAGCAATATATGCCAAGTTTTTCTTAGTTGAAACTAAAGGACGCTCTCTTGAAGAGATTGAAATGTCTCTGAACCCCAATTTCTCTGTCAGAGACAAGTGGCCATAAATTGATTTCAAAGCTAAGACAGACGGCAGAAGACGGGATTGTAATGCTAGGACAATTGCACGGATGTTTCTTTGGAAGGTTGTGACTAGTGATCCTTGATGCTAAGGTAGTGAAGTTGTGTTCGAGTAAACTCTAATTTCTGTGTACGCGACAGTTTTACGTACTACAAGTGACCGGAAGAAAAATCATCTGGTTTTCTTCTTGCGCAATTGTGCCAATTTTGTGCAGGGAGCTCTTTCATGTAACATCAATCAAATTTCATTTGATGCCAGCTTCAGTTTGCTTAACGCATCACTTATAAACTGAAAGTGTATGGAACCTCTACCTGTCCTATTAGTAAACTTTTCTCCTTGTATGATTTATGATTCCAAATTGCAGATAACATGTAGATGGTAATCGCATGTTCTTGAGCACATAACGAGTTTATGCATTATATATAATGGGATAAAAAGGGTACCCAACTTTATTTATTTCTGGACAATTTCGACCTGTCAAGGTCGTTTGAAAAAACAGTTATAATTAGCTCGGATTTAATTCTCTACAAGCTCTTAGATTTATGGTGAGTTTATCGTACTTTTTAAAATTAAAAAAATATATATTATTTTTTTCATTTAAAATAATTTTTTTAATACTTTCAAATTATTTTGATATCAAAAATAATTTAAAAAAATTAAAAAAAAAACTTCATTAAACACAAACGTGATATACTTTTCATAATTAAAAAAAATTATTTTAAATTTAATTTTTTAAAAAAAATATTATTTTAATAAAAAAATATTTATAAAAAAAAACCGCCGCCGAGATCAAGAGTTGGCTCGTCCATGGAGCAGGCTCATCAGTGGCCAGATGGTTTTGGAGCAGTTAGAAAAATCCAGGATCAACATCATCTCGGCTTTACTCATGTTTAAAACCCGAAGCATTTACCTCCAATTCTGTGTTTTCATGCACCGATGATTTTGGTATGGGAGAGAGTTCCCATAGGTTCCTCGAGACAGAAGCTGGTCACACAATCGAGCAATCTAGAGTCGGCACTTACAATCAATTTCTTAATGTCAATTTCTGGTGAGGGTAATGAAAAGGACAGCAGCTCCTCCCCACCAGTCACATTTGACATGTGCTCCCTAGGGTTTGATACAACCAATAAAGTAAAAAGGAGTAACATTCTATCAATCACACATCTAATGTCTTCAGTATTCTACATTTCAACCCAGTTACGCGAGGCAGAAGGATTGATAGGCAGATCCACTGGTCATGTCCTTTTCATGAGGTACCCCAAAATGATGCCTACCATGGCAACAAGAATGGTGTATATGAAAGGGATACCTCCTCGACTTCTGCTGGAATGATGCCTCAACTGCTCCTGCACACAATTGCACACACATTCATTTCTAACACGGGCTCTGCTGATACCGCTACTAATGTCATCCTGCAAGGTAATCTATTTTCTATAACAGAAACTATAGCCTGTGATTTTGTTTGTTTTAGTTTTTTTCATTTCTATATTGGGTTGGGGGGGTAGATATAATGCTGATAAACAGGAAAATACGAACTTTATCATGGTTGTTGTCTTTCATATAACATTTCACAGTTGAATGTGAGATAGAATAAAAGGTGTTGGATTGTGCATATATTTCCTCACACAAGAAATGACGAGGTATCATACTCAAGTACAAATTGTTTACATAATGAGAAAAATGCATGAAAAGCAACAATATGAAGCATAACCACTTAAAAAAACTCATTTATTCCCATGTACTGAATTTATTGGCATTAATAGCCAGGCATGATTAAGTACTATATTCCCCGTCTCCTTTTAAATGAAATTTACCTAGCAAATAGCAGCTCAAAGTAATCAAGTGATAAAGGTCATGAAACTATTTTTTATTATTGTATAATTTGTAGCATTTGCCAGATATGTTTCCTCTTACTTTCCCCAACTGCATTCATCTAAGAATATGGATTTCTTATAGTATATTTTTTTCTCAGCACCTAATATTTCTCGCAGTGAGAGCTGACCTAAAAGTAAACCGCAGCTCTAAAAGCATTTCAGCACACACACTAACATGCTATATTCACATGCTGAATGCCTTACCAGTTCTTTCTGAAGTAGCTTATTTTGCTGAACAGCAGAATTTTTCTCCTCGGTCAGCTTGGAAATGAGAGCCTTTGCCTGAAATCAAAATTATCATTTCCAGAATATGACCAAGTTTCCCAATCAAATATCTTAACAAGAAACTCCAAAGTCCAGTCAATGTCAAGGAAACAAAATTACAAACTTATATAAAATTTTGATTTTTGTGCATGTGATGCTGAGAAAACACCCAAGAAAAGGGTGTCTGTGATATATCCCATGATGTGGTGAGTCTTAAGTGTGCAAACTCACCAAGATGTTGTGTAAGAAATCAAGAATAGCAGCCAAATCCTAGTTACATAATTGTCGATGAGTGGGGAACATAAGCAGCTGAGAAGCTGGCTTTCATTAATGGCTTGGCTAAACATCTGATGGCGAGGTGTTTTAGAATCTAATTAGAGGCAGGACCATGTATTATTAAAAAGGTTGGAAATGGCTTGGCTGAACATCTAATGTCGTTCTTTTAGAGTCTAATGAGGCAGGACTACCTCATTATCAAAACTGGTTCGAAATACAGAATAGATGGGGAATCTTAGTGGCTCCATCATTCATAGGGATTCACCAATCAGACAAAATAAGAGGATTCTCTCCTCCTATCAAAAGGAAGTAGAGTCCCCTCTTCTAATAACAGCAACATTTTTTCATCCTAACACATTCGCCCCCAGTCGGGAGATACTTGAAAGTTGATGCAATTGAAAATCAAAACAAAGAAAAATTCAAGAATTGGAATTAAATAGGAAAACAACAGTTTACCAAGACACCTACAGGGTTGGAATACTGCCAAAAATAGCTGCTTCATCAATAAAGGAATCTATTTTTTAAAATATAATGACACTCGTCAAAACAGAAAAATACGAAAATTGACCTTATTAATCTAATAGTACTTGATAAACAAATGAAACCAGGGATTGCACATTTAGTATGTCCAACCAACCATTCATCACTAAGTTTTTCCAACAATTTGGGTTCAAAATTTATTCACAGAAGAAAAGGAATGGCATACCTCAGGCGAGTTATATTCAGACTGTGGTCTCTGGACATAAGACCTTGAAACCTACAAAAATGATTCACGTGATAGAGAAACAATCTATTAAACCTATGAGGGCAAACATAAAGACAAAACCTGAACATAATTCAATTCAAAGACCAAGGCCATCAGACACTCACAGCTGACTGTTCGGAAGTGCTAAAACTCCCATTATCTGACACGGAAGCTCTGGGAGAAGAACCTTCCTCTGATTCTTCACGCACCGGTGACGGTGGTCCAGGTGGAGCAACATAAACAACCCTCAATTTGCACTCTTCAACTACATGCCCCGCCTCCTTATTAAACTGCAAATCACAAAACATTGAAAACCCATTTGCATAACCCATAAAATTAAACCAATTAAACCAGAAACAGAAATATTCAGCAAAATTATATCACTACCATCTCTGGAGTGATATCCTTGGCTGTAGCTCCAGGACTTGTAATTACACTCTGAAGTAAAAACTTGTCCTTGCATTGCATATCAAGTGGCATCTCCTTCTGTGCTTGCATTGTGACTAACATGAACAAACAGCCCGTCATTAAATAAACACAAATTTAGCAAGATAAGAAGAGCGAAATTGATAATAATTAAAGCACAAGAATTGAAGAGAGAGAGAAACCTATAACATCACAGGAAAGCCTTGGCAACACAACTCCTGTGTTAGGTCTAACACAATACTTCTTTGGATTTGTTGTCTTGACCTATAATAATTAAACATGCAAATCAATTTTATTATACAAACCCAGTTATTATAAAAAAATTAAAAAAAAAATGAGATTAACTGATCATTACCTTAAAAGCAACATAATTGTCACTTTTATTTCGCAACTGTAGAGAACGCGAGATCTGCTTCTTTAATTCAACTACAAAAATCATAAAAAAGTTAAAAGGAAAGAAAAAAGATCTTCAAAGAAAAGGAAAGAAATATAATTTCTTTACAAGACGGTTCGTACAAGGGAATTGGAGCTCTTGAGGCTCGATGCTGAGAAGTTCGTCGGCAGTCATTTTGATGGGAACAGCGAGAGAGTCCCCGGATACAGAAGCCAGAGTTAGTGGTTTACCGTGACAGGGGAAGGGATGGTTTGGTTTTACGGTGACAGCAAGAGAGAGAGAGAGAGAGAGAGAGAGAGAGAGAGAGAGAGAGAGAGAGAGAGAGAGAGAGAGAGAGAGAGAGAGAGAGAGAGAGAGAGAGAGAGAGAGAGAGAGAGAGAGAGAGAGAGAGAGAGAGAGAGAGAGAGAGAGAGAGAGAGAGAGAGAGAGACGAGCAAATGAGACCGAGAAAGAGATTCGTAGCCGAGAAGTACAAATAGCGAAGTAACAGCGTTTTTTAACTTTCCCTGTTGCTTACAGCCGGTGGGTGTTTGGTAACGCCGAATGGAAGTGATTTTACTCGGAAATACATAGGTTTGATTTATTTTCTGTGACTTGCATGGACTTTGAAAAATACTTGCCGTTACACCAAACCAAACATTGCCTAAAATTTTTGTTAGGTTATCGCTCCCGATGGATCCATCTCCAATGCGTCTGCCATTCCGCATTGTACATATCATTATTGTAATGGCGGATTCGGATATTCATCCTGAAAAGGGTATGAATTATGGATCATCTAACTTGTATTTGTCATGTTAATTATTTTTTAAAAATGTTATTACTTCAATTTTATTTTTATATCGGCTTAATCAAGTTTGGGTTGAATTTGATAGAGTCAACCAAACTATTAGAAATTTAATTAAATTTTATCAAATTAATATTTTATAAAATTCAACTAAAAACTTGTTTTAAATTAGATTTTATATCTGAATTTTTTTGTAAAGTTGATAAAACCAAACTCAGTTTAGCAATTATGCTGTATATTCAAGTAAAATGTAATTTAATGGATTATTTATAATTGAAAAATAATATTATGGTTTTTTAATAAAATTATCAATGTTTGTTTGGTATTACTTTTTAAAAATATGTATTATGATTTGTACAACAACACATAAAAATCATAAAATAAAACCCAAAATAATATCAATTTAATATCTTTCATTCTAAAAATACCTTTTTTAAAAAAAAAAAAGATAATGCATTGCCAAAAGGTTCCTTTATAAAAGATTCAAAAGGCCAGGGGAAAAGTTTTTCTTACCGATAAAGGAGAGTGGTTGGTGAAAGAGTAAACAGGCTCAAGAGCCCCTGGACTTCTTGGATTCAACCGTATCTAACCAACCTGCCTGGAAAAATCTCCTCAGCTTCGAAGGGAATTGGAGCAAACCTCCTTTGAGCAATATTCTAAGCTTGGAGGCGAGTGCCATAAACATTCCTCTCGATATGTAAATACGAGGCAAAATATTCTGTTTTCAGAATTCCATCCTTGTTATTTTTTTTTATTCTTGTATTTTTAATTTGATCAATTAATTTTTATGTTTTTTTAAATTTACCCAGTTGATCTTGTTTTCTCGTGATTTACTTTGTTAATTTAATAATTAACTTCTATCAAGACTCAATTTTGAATTTAGCTAAATTGGTCTAAAAAAAACGTTGTGGTTGATTTATATATATTTTTAAGAAACTTAGAAAAAGTAACTCATTTGTCATTATTTTAAGTTTATTTAACTTTTTTAAAAATTACTGCACAGCATATACAAGTTATATCGGCTTGATTTATATATATATCTTTAATGTCTCGAGATAATTTACTTGATGATATAGGCCCTGTTTATCATCTCATAAATAAAAAAGATATTTAATGCTGCCACTTTAGCATGCATAATTACTATTACGATTAAATGTTAACTACTTGATTAACTAAACAGATTTAGAAAACAAAATGGTTATCTTGACAAATTTTAAAAACACACATATTAATTACTCAAATTAAAAAATACAGGATTATAAATAAATATTTTTTAATAATATTTGAAGTAAATAAATGACACCACAGGATAGGTAAATTTAGTTTTACTGCCTTGAAGAAAGCGTCGTTTTGGTCCTACCCTCTAGCCAGTCTTTAAGTTGATTGTGGATGTGGACCTAAAAGAATGGTATGTGATTAATAATACAGGCCTCGTTGCCTTCCCCATTTTATTTTATTTTATTTTTATTCTGGAGCATGCTCGAACTGGAACAATAAAGACAATAATATAAAGTTGAAAATCATCTCTATCAACCCATTTTATAAAATTTTGAATTTTTTTATTTTATATTGTTTTAATATGATGTCAAAAATAAAATTTTTAAAACATAAATTAAATTGTTTTAATATATTTTTAAATAAAAAATATTTTAAAATACAATTTTTATTTCTACCACAGGCACCAATAATACAAGCATGTGAATCCTGCGAATATACAGGACCCACACGCATTATCTTTAGCCTTGTACTGTAGTTTCATAAATTTGAGTTAATTCTCATGCCAACGCGACGAAGGAATCTTAAAGTTTTAGGTGGACCTCACCTAAAAAGTTTAATTTTTTTAGGTGCTTTAATGCCTTTATTTTCCCAACATACATAATGTTATAATTATGATTTTAAAAAAATATTTTATAGTTAAAATTAATTTAAAAAAATAAATGCTTAATTAAAATTAAAATTGAAAAAAAAATAATTTTAATATGTTTGGTTAAAAATACTTTTGAAATTAAGATTATAAAATAATTTGAAAAATATACATATTAATATTCTTAATTTTTAATTTAAATATTATGGATTTAACTATTATTATTATATCATGAAATAAATTATATTTTATATAAAAAAATTATTTAATAAAAAACTATCTATAATTTTATTAAATATAAAATTTATCCGACAAAAATTACAAAATTAGATAAAATATTATTAAAAATAAAATTAATATTATAATACGAGTATATTTAATTCATTTTAAATTAATTTTAAAAAAAATTATTATTTATATTCACGTGAATAGTACAAATAAAATTAATTAATTATACTTGTTTTTAAAAAAAAACTGCTCAGCGAACAGTAAAGGCATGGTCTACTGTTCATTGAACAGTAAACAACAATATCATGAATTAGATTTTGGCCCCGCAGGAAGTAGCTCGTACTCTTTTTTTCTTGCGTTTCAAACACAGCAGCATGTGGGACCTAACAAACAGTAACACACGTTTATTATTAACCAAATGACTTATTGCATAAAATCGCATGAAACTGGATGCAACCACGTTGTCAAACGGTTTCTTAATGTACAGGCATCGGCTTTTAAAATTATCTGATAATTGTTTTTACATACATAATGTTATAATTATGATTTTATAAAAAATATTTTATAATTAAAATTAATTTTAAAAAATAGATAATTAATTAAAACTGTAGTTAAAATTAAAGTTAAAAAAATAATTTTAATATGTTTAATTAAAAATATTTTTGAAATTGAGGTTATAAAATAATTTAAAAAATATATATATTAATATTAATGATTTTTAATTTAAATATTATAAATTTAACTATTATTATTACATCGTAAAATAAATTATATTTTATATAAAAGAAAATTACTTAACAAAAAATTATCTATAATTTCAGTAAACACAAAATTCATCCTATAAAAATTATAAAATTAAATAAAATATTATCAAAAATAAAATTAATATTATAATATGAATATATTTAATTTATTTTAATTTATTTTTTAAAAAAATATTATTCATATTCATATAAATAGTACAAATAAAATTAATTAATTATACTAATTTTTCAACAAAAAAAACTGCTTAGCGAACAGTGAAGACATGCAGTGAAAGCATGCTTCACTGTTCATTGAACAGTGAACAACAGCAATATGAATTAGATTTTGGCTGCGCAATAAGTAAGCTCATAGCTGCTTCTTGTTTTCTTGCGTTTTAAACGCAACAGCATGCAAACAACAACACCCGTTTATTATTAACCAAACAACTTATTGCATAAAATCACACGAACGTTGCCAAGCGGTTTCTTAATATAGAGGCATCAGCTTTTAAAATTATTTGATAATTGTTTTGTTAAGAAAAAAGAAAATTAACTTGGGAAATTATCTGTAATTTTTTTATAAATCCTTATTTTAAGAGAAAAATAGAAATTATGAATTTGACTCGAGTAGAAAACTACGATTAAAATTAAGTCCAACATTTAGGAGGAAAACGCGGCTATATTCTTGAAAGAAGATGACCAGTTATGTGAAAGCAACTCCATCTAATGCTACTCAGTTAGCGATGAGTCAGCCAGTATTTTAATACATGTTATTTTTATTATTTTTTAAAGTATTTTTTATTTAAAATTATATTAAAATAATATATTTTTTATTTTTAAAAAATTTATTTTTACATTAACAATCAAAATCTGAAAACACTAAAAAATAAAAAATAAATTATTTTTTTCCAAAAATATCTTTAGAATGCAAAACAAACATATCCTTAAAAAAATGCCAACAAGCATAAAAATCCTAGAAACTCGGGCTCAAGGAAAAACAACATGAAGCATCTGTAGCGAGCCAGAATGTTTTCATGCACAGATACATATGAACATGGAATGAATAACAAGAACTGTTGGGTAGGAGTGGAGGTGGAAAAAATGTCCCGCTGAGAATTGCTTGTCCCATCCCAAGTTCACTGCTCCAAAATCTAGAATTTCTATTTACAGCTGAACTTGTTTGTCCCGAGTCCATTACTCCAAATATTCCCTATCCATGTCAATATCTAATTACTAATCATGTTAAGCATCTAGAAAGTGGAACATCGCCTACATAGATATCCTCTCTATTTATTTAGTTCTGAACGATTGACATCTTACAACTAATGTTTTCACATATTTGGCAAACAGTTAAAAGTTGAGTGTAAAATTAGCAGCCCATAGTAAGCTGCCAGAGCTAGGAGCTCAAATGTACATAGCTCGCTACAGATAAGAACACACATTTACTGTGAACAGAGAAGAAAACGGTGCCCTTATACCAGGAATTATTTGGTCATGTATACTCCCAATCCGTATTTGAAGCCACAACTCTTAATGGAGTCTTCGGTGACAGTGAATGATATTAACCACCAGAAGCAGCAGGAGAGTGTTGCTGCTGCGATCGAGCAGCGAAACCAGCAAACCAAGCAACACTCATGAGCTGAACACCAAGGATTAGAATCCACCAAGATACCAGCCCCC